GTATACCTGACATACATATGATAAACTACGTATACCTGACATACATATGATAAACTATGTATACCTGACATACATATGCATGGAATACATCACATTGTCTTTGTTGATAGATATATAGAGAACATCTCAAATGAGTTTTCTTTTCATGAGATTAATGAAATGGGTCTCAAAGTTTACATTTTAACAAGACTCTGCATGCCTTACTAAATAGAAAACTTTGGGACATGTTACACAACCTCATAGGAAATACCAAATTGTTATCTCATTATATATGAATAGATGTGAAAATTCTCCCCATCACCAACTTTACTTTTTTATATATATAATAATGATGTTTCTGATGCCAAAACTGACCTATCTTGTCTATTGTTGTCATTGTGGGGCAATCTTTAGCGACATTTTGTACGGTTACATGTGATGACCTATCTTGTCTATTGTTGTTATTGTGGGGGCATCTTTAGCGACATTTTGTATGGTTACATGTGATGGCCTATCTTGTCTATTGTTGCCATTGTGGGGCAATCTTTAGCGATATTTTTTATGGTTACATGTGATGACCTCTCTTGTCTATTGTTGTTATTGTGGGGGCATCTTTAGCGATATTTTGTATGGTTACATGTGATGGCCTATCTTGTCTATTGTTGTCGTTGTGGGGCAATCTTTAGCGATATGTTGTATGGTTACATGTGATGACCTCTCTTGTCTATTGTTGTTATTGTGGGGTCATCTTTAGCGATATTTTGTATGGTTACATGTGATGATCTATCTTGTCTATTGTTGGCATTGGGGGGTCATCTTTAGCGATATTTTGTATTGTTACATGTGATGACCTATCTTGGCTATTGTTGTCATTGTGGGGTTATCTTTAGCGACATTTTGTACGGTTACATGAGATGACCTATCTTGTCTATTGTTGTTATTGTGGGGGCATCTTTAGCGATATTTTGTATGGTTACATGTGATGGCCTATCTTGTCTATTGTTGTCGTTGTGGGGCAATCTTTAGCGACATTTTGTACGGTCACATGTGATGGTCTATTGTTGTCATTGTGGGGTCATCTGTAGCGATATTTGTATGGTTACATGTGAAGACCTATCTTGTCTATTGTTGTTATTGTGGGGTCATCTTTAGCGATATTTTGTATGGTTACATGTGATGACATATAGTGGATTCACTAAATATATTAAGAACAGTGTCAACTTCTACCTGTCCAAACACCTTTCATAATGTTTTACATCTAACTTTTGTGTGCTGCAATCCGTAAAATGTATATTTCAATTGAAATTAATTGGACTAGCTATTATTTCCTCCTGACTAATAGGGTCCTTACAACGACCCCTGCAGGGCCCTCAAGTCTTCAAATATAATATTTCAAACACCATAGTTGATGGACAATATTTCTACATTATTTTTAATTGTCAGTAACAAACAAAACTTTTCACAGACCAGCCGATACTAAAATATGGAAGCAAGTTTGTTGTATTTTGTTGTTTCCTAGCTAATACCCACAACGATAGCTTTTACCCACAAGGAGTGAGTGGTATTAAACAAATGTAATCCCATTAAATTCCTTAATCTGATGGGTTTTTTTTGCGACAACAGGTTATCAGTCTATTGTTAAATTCAGTGACTTCTATCTAACAAATCAATATGGCCTAGAAAGAATACAAAACAGATGTAGTGGTATTTTGTAAGAAACGAGGATGTATTATCAGAGTATTCCTATAAAACAGGGAGATCTGCATTGGCAATATAAGGATTTTGTTAAATGTGACCTTTGTGTTTATCTAAAGGCTTGGCTAAATTAAAATATATCGTTAATGAAATATTGTGTACACTTTTGTTATATATGTCTTATACAAAAAGAAAGGCTGGAGTGAGGATTGTCTTAAAAATTCCCATAACTTCCATGGCTTCCACTAGGGTAAAATATCTATATTGCAAAGAAAAAAATAATATTTTGACTTTTTATGGATTTTTAATGTGATGTTATAATCAATAATATCAATTTTTATTTATACAATAGAGCTAACAGCAGAGGAAATATAAACATTTCTTAACAGTCAGATTAAAATCTGTGTTTCCATGTATGGACTGTGCTATTTTTTTTTATTGTAAATTAAACTTTCATTAAGATGGATATTCTATTGCAAAAGTGAAGAATTCTGAGTTGATCACAGGTTTACAACTGTTGGGGAGAAACAAATTTCATTCTTGACAATCTGATCCATGTTTCAATCTCCTGATGACTATCAACACAGAATATTGGACCCCAGGGATCAGTACCAGTCCATCGACACCTTACTAAGTTCTCCTATCAACATATTATGGTAATCAAAGCACAGAGCAATGTGACATAGACGACCAGTTGATGTGCCTCGGTCATGACCCTGTATGGCATACCAATCCTCGACCAAATGGTTATGACATAATCTATCGCGATGTCAACTCGTTGACAGATCACACCGGGCACATCTGTCGGGGAGGTTAGCCACGCTGTTCACAGCTGTGTTCAGAACTATGCTCATATTCAACGCACATATTTACCAAAATTATATCTTAAAAAGCAGAAAATGATCCTCATTTTTGCATTAATGCTGCAAATTCGATATCTACTTTCAATTTCCGAACATGGGACCCCATGTTTTGGCTGTTCTGTTTAGCTCCCCACCCCATATCACACGCATGCGTAGTAAACTTGCATTGAACTACTGTTATGGTTGATTAGGCAAGATTTCTGTGTATTTCTCGCTTTGTAAAAGAAAGAATTATACCTTAAAACATCCTCTTAAGAATTGCTTGTATGTTAAATATACCTTACACACGTATGCGTTAATCCATGACTGTCTTATTGCAACGAAATCGACCTTCTTTCCGCACCGATAGCAGAATGTGCCCTGCAGCGACACACAATATCCAATGACCTTCTTTCACTTCCTAGCTGTTTTTGGTTTATAAATATGGCCGATCAAGATCTCCAAACATGTAAAGGCATCAAATGAACAATATAAAGTAAAATCAAAGGTGCAAAATGTACAGAATCATTCATAGTTACCCTGCTGTTTGCGAAAGGACCTCCCGACGTTGGACCTGTCATCGCAAGTTCAGAACGGAAATGACTGTATGGATACTAATACAAGAACCGGAAACGGAATGAGAAGATTGTTCGGATTAAGCCGGATGTGCGTAGATGAGTGTGCACTTTGTACTCTATAGTAGTAGCCCTTATCCTGGTGGCGTACACATGTTAAATTATTAAATGAAAATTAACAAAGCCGTTTTATGTCATTTTTCATTAATTTGTTTGGAAAATTCCCACTCCACAATCATAGCCTGACTATACTATCGGGACTCCCATTACAAGGACAGAAATATCATTATTCATTATCAAACATACATTTGTATTTGTGTATTTTGTGTAAAACTGTTTTAAATACATCAGAAATCATTCAAGGATAAAGATGAAAATACAATAAAATTTTAAACATTTATTTGAAGAACATTTCTCGTATTAGATCCAGAATAGAATCCGTTGCTTTCGTAAACAGTTTTTCCACGTACACATATATATTGAATGCTATAACTTAATTTGTAAATCGATCAAAGTCCGTAATGTTAGCTGTCTATATACATATATATATATATGTTGCGATATTGCACAGTTTAGTAGAATATATCTCACTTAATTTGTTATGAGAGAATTCGAACCAAGATAATTCTAGGTGCACTGAATAAAATAAGGTTTAATTGGACCCTATCTGAAAAAAATCCATAACTAATAAACGAATAAATAAATACAAAAACAAACAGCTGCAATCACCTTTTAGAGTTACTATAGAAAGTTTGCTTAGGACAACAAAATTTGGTCGATATGAACCAGATGAAATCTCCACTACGAGCTATGAATAACGACAATTTTTCAAGTTTACTACTATCAGTCATTTAAACAACTGCAGAGTGGTAGATTCGAAGTTTAGAAGTGAAATAGTTAATCGGTCAACAAACAGGTGTTTTAAGATAGAACAAGATTTCTTTTTGAAATTTTTGTAGTTTTGCTCAAGTCCCAGGGCCAATTGGTGTCTAATCATTGCGGCTTGTAACAACTTAACTTGACAAAACTGATAGCAGTGGGAACCTCTGTATATCTTACACCATATAAATCATAAATAAGGACGGTACTGACACTTCATAAAATGTTGGCATAACAAGACTATTTATATAACCAAGTTTTGGCAACATTTCAAACTACTTGACAATGACGATTCTGTTTTTCTCCTTGTTATTGTGCTATTTTCAATTACCGACTTGGATTGTCTTATCACAAATATCTTGTAAGGATTTCGTAAATCTTGGGACTTGAGCAAGACTACCAGATAATGAATGCTTACTTTATACGATATTAGCATCTAAAATATTTTCTATGATTTGAGCAGGACTTATTAAAGTAGTATTGGAGATATTTACTCTTCGACTTGAAATTGATGCTTTCTTATGATATTGGTTCCTAAACCCATTTCTTCGATTTGAGTAACACCACTACTTGTAGTACTACAGGGTATATATAAACTCGGACTTGACTAAGGCTATTTGTTGTTCTTCACTCTTGTATATAAACGAGACTGCTATGCACAGCACTAAACGCAATGGTATCATGTGGTTTTATATCATTAGTTATTTGATTGTCATCTGCTTTGTATTTTTTTTAAGAAAGTTTTAACTGAACTTACAAAAATTGAAATTAATTAATTAGGTTGTATTACATCTAAAATATTTTATTACATGTGATTCCTGTTAGAGTTATCCCCTTTAATTTGATATAAAATAAAATTTAGTTATTTCAACTTATTCTTGTTAGCCCGGATGCTATTGGAAGGGGGTCTTTATCCGGAGAAACCCACGTGGTCGGGCAGGTGAACCCATACTTTTTCACGTCCGGTCGGGAAATCGAACCCCGGCCGCCTTGGTGAAAGGCGAGTGCGTTTTCCACTGCGTCACCCGACCAACACCCTTTAATTGATCTAATTAGCATCGTTTGCTTATTCACACTGTCCTGAGCGACATCGGTGTATGTGTTCATGTACGTTTTGTTAGATCTAGAGAATATATATGAATATCAAGTCTTCTCCCGATTTCTGATAAACATCGTTTTTCACAGTCTCGTGTTTTTGTTTGCTGTCGTTTGTCCCTAAACTACAGCAGGTTGGGATCCCGTTCAGTAGGGTCCATAAACTACAGCAGGTTGGGATCCTGTTCAGTAATGTCCATAAACTACAGTAGGTTGGGATCCCGTTCAGTAATGTCCATAAACTACAGCAGGTCGGGATCCCGTTCGTTAATGTCCATAAACTACAGCAGGTTGGGACCCCGTTCAGTAATGTCCATAAACTACAGCAGGTTGGGATCCCGTTCAGTAATGTCCATACACTACAGCAGGTCGGGATCCCGTTCGTTAATGTCCATAAACTACAGCAGGTTGGGATCCCGTTCAGTAATGTCCATAAACTACAGCAGATTGGGATTCCGTTCAGTAATGTCCATACACTACAGCAGGTTGGGATCCCGTTCAGTAATGTCCATAAACTACAGCAGGTTGGGATCCCGTTCAGTAATGTCCATAAACTACAGCAGGTTGGGATCCCGTTCAGTAATGTCCATAAACTACAGCAGGTTGGGATCCCGTTCAGTAAGGTCCATATTAGCGTTATGATTTGTTAAACCAAGTATAAAATTAAATTGTGTTTTAAAGTGTGTAGAAAGTATGTGTGCTCTTTTGTTTATTCTATGAAGGTAGGCATTTTGAACCCCACGGCGTATTTGTCTTGTTCTCATTTAAAACATCCATGAAAATACCAGTGATTCATTGTTTGCTTGATCGGGTAATTGAGCTGCCGAAACTCGAGTAACATTAATGAATGTTTTATAACTAGATCTATCATGTATTCACAATCCTTAATACGTATAACCCGTTATTTCAAATAACAATGCAGTTCTCAGATGCGATTAAATAATAAAGGACAAAAGAACGCTATCTAGAGTCTTCAAGAAAGTATTTATAACCATAGAATATCCTGTCCACCAGCTTCCTTAACGGAAGTTAGTATTCACCTACCGTAGCCAACATACAGAGCGAACGACTATACAGTCTACTTACCTTAGTCAACATACAAGTTCAAGTTCTTTATTTGCTGAAGTTTTACAACTTATGACTTATGGCAATTACAGATAAGACAAAGACAATCACAAGGACACACTCACACTGACTCGCACACATCATCCTCATCATCAAGAACACTCCCACTAACTCGCACACATCATCCTCATCATCTTCATCCTCCTCTTCTTTCTCCTCCTCCTCCTCCTCCTCCTCACATCATTACATCATCATCATCATCATCATCATATCAGCAACAGCAGCAGCAATCATTCGTCATTCATCATCCTCACATTCAAACACACGCCAGAACCCGTTTCACCCTCATTCACCCAGACAAGACTTATCAATATAATGGTATATTACATAATTTGTATTCAATAAACTGATATACAACATGTTTCTTAACATGACTTGTTCTAGTGATGACCTCTTAATAAATCTGCTCTACGCTTAAACGCTAGTGATAAATACTTTCCTAAATTATTAAGTTCTTTCGATTTTGAGTAATTGAACAAATTTATACATACTAGGCCTTTTGAAATAATATTGCTTTATGCATTTAGACCGGAGGTCTGAATAGCGATTACATTTAATTATAAAATGAAATTCATCTTCTATATCATTTTCATTACATAAAATACATTTTCTTTCTTCTCTAGGTATATCTCTGTAACGGCCACATTCAATGAACAGGTCATGCGCACATAAACGCATCTTAGAAATATGTTTTAGATAATTTAAATTAATTGCCTTATGAAGATATGGTTGCAATTTAATACTTTCCACTAAATGCTGATATAATACTTCTTTAGAAGAAGAATGAACTTTTCTAGACAATCTTGCTGAACACTATCACATAATCGCTGCTTATATACTTTACTAGAATGATTAATACTATCAGTCACAAACATCCAAGGCCGACTCGTGAAAGATCATGTTTTAAGTAAATCCTAATAATGATTTCAAAAATCCAATATGCAATTTTTCTATTTCGGATGCCTTATGAAATCCCCAAATTTCTGAACCGTACATTAAAATACTATTAATAAATGTGTCAAAAACAGCAAGACGAGATTCTATATTAAAATAAATCTTTTTACATACATTATTTATGGCAAATAGTGCTTTTCGACCTTGTTCTGCTAGTTTTTTGTTTTTTTTTGTAAATTTACCATTATAGTTTAAAGTGAGACCAAGATAATTAAACTCATCAACTACTTCAATCGCATCATTATTATAAAACCATTTTTCTTTTGCTCTTATTAAACCACCATTTCTAAAGATAATTATTTTTGTTTTATCTACATTTAAAGTTAAGCTCCATTTTCTACAATAATCTGATAGTGAATCTAACTTTTTCTGCAAGTCTTCTGGTGTTTCCGATAGTATGACCTTATCGTCTGCACACATAAGTAAAAATAAACTAATAGTTTGAACTTCTAGTGATAAGCATTTTTTTTTATAAAATCCATTTCTAAATCATTAACAAATAATGTAAACAACAAGGGAGATAATATTTTCCGTTGGAATAAACCACAATCCATTTGAAAAATTCAGTAACACCTTTGAATTTAACACAACATTTTACATTGGCAAAGAGACTTCTTATTATTTTCAGGAATTTCCCTTCTATACCTTCCTTAATCATTTTATACCAAAGATTTTGTCGACTAACAAAATCAAAAGCCTTTTTATAATCTATAAAACAACAGTACAGTTGGTTTCGTTTTTTGAGAGTTCTATTAATTAATGATTGAAGTTCGAAAATAGCATCTATCGTGGAAAGTTTTTTTCTAAATCCAAATTGTACATCTGTGATAATGTTATGTATTTTATCAACATTAACAAACTTTCATTTAAAATGGCCGTGAAATTTTTCCCAAGACAACTTACTAATATAATACCTCTATAATTATCAGTTACATTCACATCCCCTTTCTAAAATAGTGGTATAATTGTTCCAATA